AACTTTTTCAACATCTGCTCACATCCTTTCATCATCAAATCTGTCAATTTGTCACATTTCCAGATTGACCAAACATTCATTACTTTGAGCTCAAACTATGATGGTATTTTCTTCAACCTAGTGCTGTTCACTAAACCTTAAACCACAAATATTTCACAATGTTTTCACAACCACATTGCAAACACTGAACAGTCAGCTTTGTTTTCACAGCATGAGTAGTTTTTTCACAGTTAAGAAAATATAATGGTCTGGAATAAACAGGAGGCAACTGCAGTCCCCTTTGTAACCCATTAAGCTACCTTGAGCTGCTCCATTCCTGACGCTTTCAGAAAGCGTTGGAATCAAATTCAAGTGCAACATTTTTCAATATGGAGTGGTGCAGTGATGATGTATTTTTGTAGGCCGACCCTGAAGTAAGCTGCGCAAGGGTTCCCTCGACAAAAAAGCAATGGGATTTCTCTGTGGGTCTGTGGAAAACGAACCCGTTTGATAAATGCACATTTTGTTCAGCCGGATAATCTCCACGTCTACCTACTTTTCTAATTTGTATTATTATAATTGTAATTATTATGGTATTAACACAGAAATGTTAAAATTCAACACCTTGCAACTTTTAAGAACATCACAATTGTGCATTGTAAACATTTCCAGACTGACTTTCACAGAGGAATCTCACTTGGCATTGTAGCTTTTTAAGTGGCGAGTCCATGAGATGTTTATGGCGATAAAAAAAAAAAGGGATCTCCATCGCTCGTTCTCATCTATTGCAACAAAAGATTATGCAATCTCATCGAAAAATGTACATGTCAAAGAACAGTTTTCTCCACCAAAATGGTCCATTAAAGTTCAAACAGAATGAATGTGCCAAAAAATAACTGTCCCAGAGTTCAATATTTCCTACTTGAACCGCCTTAAGTAGTATGTAGTCATCAAACGTATATTGTCCAACAAGAACAATTCTTATCACAGCTTGATTGTCCAGCCCTGAAATGATGGGCTCACTGAAGCATCTTGATTTTAAGGCTTTGGACCTTTGGTGACAGCTTGTTGCCATCCAAGTTCATCAACACTTTCTGTATAAACTCGAAAGTGAACTTGAGTTCCTGTGGATAGCTCAAGTTGAGAGTGTAAATCAACCCAAAAAGCATGGCCCATCCTAACGAAATACTTCGCAGATTGGATAGCAGTTCCACACCTTCGATGATCACACCGACATCCTCTGGTCCGTCCTCTTCCTGAGCGCCCTCATTGCGGATCACATAAAGTCCCATGGTAGTCTGTGGGATTGCACTCTCGGCTTCCTCACTCCTGACATTCTAAAAAAAGGTGGAAAACAAGATAACTATTTTGAAAAAGTAGACATAGACTCTTTAAAAGGTTAAGTGCGTAATATCGGAGATAGCAAAGCTCCCTTACTCCACCCTCCCTTTGGAAAAATGTTCAGAAAGTATGGTGGCCTTCAAGGACAGTAATTTAGTAACTGAAGATGGCATCATCCACCACTGCCTCAAGCCTTTCAGTATCAAGTGTGCTGAAGATGGACTTGGTTATTTATCTATAGTACTATATGTTATAGCTCAATAACTAAGGCTTTTCTAGCAGGCACCTACTATGTATAAAAACGTGTATGGCCATTAAGTTTGTCCGTTCTGTGCTAGTGTAGAATCATTGCGGCACGTACCCGCTCCTATGTAGACAACAAAAATGATCATTCTAGGGTAATACAAATAACAAACTTATATTTAAGCCATTATACACTTAACACATTGTTATGTACCTTTAATACAAAAACGTTACAGTAAAATTACTTACCAGGTACTCCTTGATGAGACTGTTGCTGTCCTCCTTCAGGTAGGCACACAGACTTTTCAGGACAGAGTCTCTTTTGAGCTCAATGTCCTCACTCTATAAAAACAAGGCATATTCAATATTTCAAGAGTTTGCACAAAAAATGTATGCACAAGTATATTATTTATTGTTAATGTAAAAAACATGCGAGAAGAAGGTTGACACATGTAAGTCTGATCAAAATACATGTGCTTTAAACTCAAATGTAGTTTTTAATATCAGAATGTTGTTACATTTATTCATATCATATATAAACCGCTTGGTATGTGTGAAAAATTAATTTAGCCTTTACAAAGGATCCTATAACCACCCACATACGATAGCAATTGAGTTTAGATACGACAAACAATTTATTAATGTAGATTGAACATACTGAATACTTTTAAACATCCAAATAGTTTTAAGAAAACTGACATGATTGGGATTTATTGTTAATGTGAAATCAATATTTTGCATGCATTAGAAATATTTTCAATCTGAAAATACTTGGGACACCTTTCTCTCTAATCTTTCTACATTGAGCTTCCCTTTAATAGGACATACACATATTACTTGATTGTGTTGATCTATTTTTAAAACTATCATCTCAAGAAACCTTCATGTTGTGGTAAAAATAAGGACAACTTTTAAAATGAGCTGCACTTCAGATTGCTCTTCATTGGTGGTTAGTGGCAGTGCTAACCTGTTTACATGAACTGTACAAAACAAACCTATATATTTTCAAGGATTTTTTAAAACTTGTTAAAACCAGTGTTGGATGGCAAAAAGATGCTCATATGGCTAAATAATGTAAGGATGTAATGCACAATGCACTTACCCTAGCTGTCGGTGCCATGAGAAGCCGGATCTTCCTTCCAGCATCTCCTCCTCTATTGTGGAAGACCTTCAGTAGGTTAGGCGATGTTAGAGATTTGGAGGGATAACTGGTCCGCTTTTCAAATCTCCGCGCGTTCCTATGAAGCTGGTTATAATACAGGAAGGAATCCATATCTACAAAGTAACCGTTAACAATAATCTACTTTAATGGCAATATGACAATGCAATACAATCATTACAATACAACATGATATATTACAGTTATATTGTAATGCTTAAGGAGTAATGCCGGCTTACTCCTGCCCTAGTCCGCATACTGCAGAGCTACTTTCACCCGAGGGCAGCATGTGAAGAAGAGGCCGAACGCCAGGGATCCACCGGATATATACCAGAGTAAGAAGGAGGGGTTTGGTGTTAGGTCAGCTGGTCATCTTTTCAGGTCATCTCATTGGGAGACGCAACGCAGCAGGAAACGCAGCAGGAAACCAAACAGGCTCACTTTCCAACAAAAGGTCTCAAGGCCTGCATACCTACACCTCCCCCACAGGGCAATAAAACCCTGTTTACTCCAACCAGCCCAGAATGTTTATAGCCATTTGTAGTCCTTACATTTATGAAAGGATAAAACAGAGAAATCAATATAAAACACAAACACAGGTATTGTTTGAACAGTATTCACTTAACTGCTACTGTTGATAAGCACCAGAGAAACCCAAGAGACCTCTCTTAATAGCACAACCACTGTAGCTCGTTCTAAGTTGAATGCAAATCAGGACATGCTCTCACCTTCCCCCATCTTCCTTTGTCCTCAAAAACACATGTCAACAGGCCCCAAATGCAGCTCACAGTTTTACCCAAATTATTCTCATTTTAAGCTTATCCATAGTTTGCTAACATGAATAAATACAAATATAACTCTACAGCGAGTATCTGTCAAGCTCTGCCAGGAACTTGGCTTGGAGTGGCAAAGTTGTGATTCGCATGAATTCTGCATTTATCTGAGACAAACAATTAAATAAACGTCATGTTCTTCAATTATACTTGCACTAAACAGTGTGAGTAAACTCTACATCAGCAGAGCAATATTAATATCAAAATATCATTATTAACAATACTCACTTCACTCACTGTAAACAAGGCAGGCCACTTGTTTACAAGTTCAGCCACCACAGGAGTATCCTGGACAATCTCTTGGCGTCTGTAGGCGAAGGTCTTCTGCATCTTCTTTTTGACTACAGCGTCGTTGTTTCTCTTTTTCACCTCGGTCAGGAGCACTACCCTTTCTTTCTCAAGACTGTCTCTTGTTTCACCACTAGGGAGTGGTGGGAGGAAGTTAACTTAAGACTGTCTCTTGTTTCACCACTAGGGAGTGGTGGGAGGAAGTTAACTTAAGACCGTCTCTTGTTTCACCACGAGGGAGTGGTGGGAGGAAGTTAACTTAAGACTGTCTCTTGTTTCACCACTAGGGAGTGGTGGGAGGAAGTTAACTTAAGACTGTCTCTTGTTTCACCACGAGGGAGTGGTGGGAGGAAGTTAACTTCTGCCTTTCTTGGCTTTTTGATATTTGCAGCTGCTTGTTCTTGTCCTTTGCGCTTGTTCTTGAGAGAGTTTACACTGACCTCAGGGTGTCCAATCTTGTTTAGTTTTGTGCGGAAATTGGCAACCTCTGTTTTTAGATACTGCTTCCATCCCTCATGGCCAGCACGAGTTCCTCTCTCCTTCAAGCATGGATGGGTATGCACAAGGACAGTAGCAGCCTCTTCGATTTGGGAATCACTGGGATATGCTGTGTATTTGAATATTTCTTCAGCCATGCCTTCAAGGATATCCATTCGCAGTTTAGGAGAAGGGGTAAGAAGAGTGCCATTTGCTCTGAAATCAGCAGTTGCTCTTTGGAGCTGAAATTCAGCAAAATATGAAAAGCGGGGAACAAAGAAGATTGGTGGCCAGGAGGAGGTTCTTGTCTCTGGAGCTGGATCTAGAATGAGAGCGTCTCCACTGTCAAATGAGTGCTGAGAAGACAAGCCGTCTTCATCAGGGGATGTAGTACGAAGGGCATTTACAGAGGTTAGGGTTAGGATCACAGAGCTGTTGCATGTCATGGGTGAAGTTAATGGTGTGCTGGTGCTGCAAGGTAGTGATGTCTCTGGAATGCTGGAGCTAGTTTCTTCACATGAAACAATTACCACTTTTACAGTAGCCTTGTCTTCAATGTCACTGATTGACTCAAGATTAAAATACTAATTTCCAAAGTCGAGATCCTTGTATTGGAGCCTGAACTGTTGTTCAAGTCCAAAATAGGTCTTTATCTCAAGGACAAGTTGATCCACAGATGATGGCATTCCTGACTTGAGGGTACGTTTTCTTGCGTCATCTACACCAAGAACAACTCGCAGGTGGACAGGACATGACATCTTTCCCCTCAATGTATTCTAGGAAACAAATACAGGGAAACAAAGTTAGGACAAGTACTAAACCATCACTAAATATTAACTTGTAACATTTACGTAATTAATTGTTATTTTATGCTTGTGTTGTGCTTACACAGGGATAGCTGTAATGGCATGGAATAGTGGTTGTTACTTCTTTATATGCGCATGTGCTCATGTTTTAAGCTTACATGTCGTGTTTTTGTATGCTTTCTAATGTTTTCTCAAATGCAATCATCCTGCTAGAGACTGCAGGTGAAATTTGGCACATATGGCTAAATCTGGCACCTTTACATGATGGACGTTGTTCATGTTAATGTGCATTGTCCCTTTAAAATAAAGAAATATCTACAGAGTATTCAGCTTTCATTCACAGCTGTTTAAGTCACATTCAGACCAACCTTAAACAATGATATGCCTTTTCAGGGTAACCATTCGCCTTACACCGACAGTGTAGTCACAGAGTGGATAAGCATCGAGCAGCTGTTCAACATCAACGAGGGCAACCTCACTATTCGGAGATATGGTCAACTCATACGCTCTGAAGTGCTCATGATACCATGCACACAATACCCTTACAACAAAGCTCACACTGTTTTCAACAATGCATATTTGAATTATTTCAGCAAAATCAGGCAGACCACCAGTTGAGCCATAAGGAATGAGCATGCCAACTCTGTAGGAGATTCCTTTAAGGGTTGCGTGCTTTGCAAAATGTACTTCGTTAATAGTGGGGTATTTTTGCCTGAGGTGTAACACTACTTTCTGGTTCAGTACATCCACAGGAAGCATGGAAACATTTGAAACTTCCAATGTGGATTTAAGGTGGGATGCAGTGATATGATATGCAATCATTTGCTGATGTTTGAATGCCAATGTGAGTGGTACATTCTTGAAGCAATTTGTGTGACGAGCAACTTGCTTGAAGAAACTGTGCTTTGCCTCAAACCTCATGGTCCATTGCCCAACTAAAGGTCCAAAACGTTCAATCATTTGAGGATAATGCTCAATATAGTGATGTTTTGGTAACAGTTTTGTAGGGAAAAGCTCCAAAAATCTATCTCTGTGTTCCACGATTTTACAGTCCAGGTAGGCAATAGTTTCTTGATTATGAAGAGGGGCGACAGAGAGTTCAACAATTTCTTTTAAATCAAGCAACACATGCCAAGCAGGCTCTGCCTCTGGTATCAAGTCTCCAATTATAAATGGCAACAACCTCAACAGATTCCAATTTTCGTGGGCGTTTCCTCCAATGGTCTTGGAAGCGGCAAAAGTGCGCGGTATGGTATGAGGTTTGTTAGTTCTGTCCCCCCACTTGTATGGAAAGCTCAGGATAAGCTCATTTAAAGTGTTAAGAGATAGATATTTCTTGGAAATAAACAAACCAATGCAAAGGGCAATCTCAACTGGAACAACACCCTCAAATAAGTCGTGTGCAATGTCAGGAGGGTAGCCCCGAGTAACGTGAAAGTAAGATAATATTTTTTGTAAAAACACACTCTCTCTTTACCCCACAACAGATGGTGGCATTCTCTCTTGCAAATGTAATGTGCTTGTGATGCAAGTCTTTTGTACGATTTTCAAAATAACCTGACTGAACCGTTTTAGTCTGAATGTCTGCTCTTGTACCTGTACAAAATCTGCAGAAGTAGACACCAGAAAAGCATTCAATGAACCCTGCTATCCCGTGGGCTCCTAGGTTGTCTGCAATGACCGACTGGACAGTGCCTTTCACAGACGCTCCAAGACCTGAAATAAAAACACCATGTGTCTCTAGAATGACCAAGTCTTGTAAAAGGGGATCTAAAATGTGTTCATATCCGTACTCTTTCACATCAATAGTCTTGCATAATACAGCTAAGTAGATGGAAGAAAGAGCTGAGTGAGATCCAGGTGGTAAATTATTCAAAATCCAATACACACCACAAAGTTTATGAGTTTTTCTGGACGTACCTATGGGGTTGCACACCTCAAAGTCATCAACATATAGTGATAATGATAATTTCAAATCCTCCCCAGTAAAAAGGCCATTTTCTTTTGAGTAAATTCCATCTCTTATCGACTTATACTGCCCTAAACACTGTGTACTTTTCTGTGTCTCGTGTGTGTGAATTACACTTTTTAGTATGTCACTGTTACTTAACAGATGCTGCAAAGAACGCAATATAGAAATATACTGATATGTTCTTTTACTCTTAGGATCAAGGATGTACTCAACTGGATTTACCACACTGAAATATTCTTTGTAATACTTTTTTCTTTTGAAAGATGTAGCGAGGGGGCCGTCTTTTGCAAAGGCTTTGGTCAAGGGATTAGATTTACACACTTCTTGAGCAAGCTCTTTGACAATGGACTCATCAATTTCAACACAGTGGTTTTTTAAAATGTCCGATAGGCCGTTAAAGGTTATCGGAACAGATGAGAAGCTTAACAAAAAGTGTAATTCCTGCAGTAATTCGTCAATTGCAGTTGCCGGTACAAACAAAATGTGTTCTAATTTCAGTAAAACAGAGGCAATTTTCTGCTCAATAACCTTGGGTAGATCTTCAGTATCAAAACAACCATGTGCATCTATACAAGTATCAGATTCTACATCTGCATCTGCAGCACCATCAATAACAGAATTGTCAGATTCAATTAATCCAACAACTACAGTAACAACCTCAGCTTTGAAATCACTTAAAATATGGGGATTATGTTTCCTGTATTTATGAGTATGAAATGTATTGTAGATGTTAGTTTTAAAAACACAATCTTTAAACATGCATGTTACAGTTTCATTTCTCCGTAGATGTTCATTTACATGACTGAAATAAGCTTGTTCATTTGAAAGCTCAGGACAAGCACACAACTGACATGAAAATGTAGACAACTCAGATGGCTTTGGAGATGTTTGGGTTTTATGACTACGGTATATATGACTCAAAAGACTGTTCCACAATCTAAATGTGCAGGGGCAATTACGCAGAGGTGTGGACTCGAGTCACATGACTTGGACTCGAGTCAGACTCGAGTCACACATTTTATGACTTGAGACTCGACTTGACAACATCACAAAAGACTTGCGACTCGACTTGGACTTGAACACCAATGACTCGGGACTTGACTTGGACTTGAGCCTTCTGACTTGAGGTGACTTGATACTTTAATTGAGAGGTCTCCAACACGCCGATCGCGAGCTGCCGTTAGAAGAGCAGACTCCCGTCGGGGAGAGCAGAATCTTCAGCCGCTCCTACTCTTGCTGAGAATCCTTGCAGGCAGGGGCGGGTCTTTATTTAGCTGGCCCACCATGCAGCCAATCATATGCGAGGACACACTAGGATCATACCATTATGTGAAAGAAGGGTGGGGGGCACAGCATGTGTAGTGGTACAGGCCAGCTGCACAGAGCGACGGGGAGCCGGATTTAAATGCAAGCGCGTCGGAAAAAGTCAAGAAATGAGCGAAAACCGAAAAAAGGATCTGGCTGAGTGCAGGATTTGTAAAATGAAAATAACCTTCAGAGCAGGGTTTTTAAGGCCTTAAAAAGGTCTTAAATATGATTCAGAAGGTCTTAAAAATTATCGGATTTGAAAGGTACTTCTATGTTGCGATAGCGTCTAAATGTGTTTTGGGGGAAATGTCCGGGCTGCAAAGTAACCAGTACGGTAATAGCCTTTCAGTTCCCCCCAACAATTTGTATTGAATTAAATCAACATGGAACCAGTAATCACTAACTTTGTTTCCCCCGGCCCCTTATTGGAGAACACCCAGCTAGTAACCTAGCAACCAAGCTTCAGCTCATGTAGCCTATCTTCGAATCTACTTACAAATAAATATGGGGAAGTGTAAGTTCAACCGTATTTGGTTGGAAAACATCTAATTTAGTGCTTGGTTGAAACCAGTGGAGGGAACGTGTTTGAAGCCCGCTGCACCTTTTGCAAAATAAATTAGCATTTGTTTTGCTAATGTAGCGTTAGCTAGTGGAGTGTTAGCTAGTGCAGCAGCTCCCGCAACAACACCGGGGGAACTCCGGGCGAAGTTTGGGTCTACGTCAACCCTAAAAGCGGAGGTGCTGTAGACGCTAAATACCGTAGCTAAACACCAATCATACAACAGCAATGATGAAATAGTGTAGCCAAGGCAGCAGAGCTCTGAATATAGCTCTTGTCACTCTCTCTCAGAGACACACACACACACACACACACACACACACACACACACACACACACACACACACACACACACACACACACACACACACACACACACACACACACACACACACACACACACACACACACACACACACACACACACACACACACACACACACACACACACACACACACACAAGGGCTGCTCGATTATGGCAATAATCAAGATTATGTTGGTCAATAATTAATATCACGATTATTCATTGACTTTGAAAACATCCATTTATTGAACTTTAAAACAAATAATAATTTGAACAGTATATTTTGAACTGTTGATTACCCTGAACGTATAATTCAACTGAAAAACTAATACAAAAATTAATTAAATAAATGATACATTACTAAAAAAATCATTAGATCAAATATGTTCTGGTGCACTGTCACAACCTAGCAAAGCAAAATAATCGTTTTTTCCGATTATGTTGTTTTCGTAATTGTGGCAGGCCAAAATCGTAATTGCGATTAAAATATGATTAATTGCATAGCCCTAACACACAGACGCACACACATACACACTTTTTGTCTAACACGCTAACACAGTTCTGTTGTGTTCAGTCACTGTTCTTATGTTGAACATGAATACATTTACTTTGTAAGTGATTATGGGACGTATTTCTTCTTTATATACATTTTCCTTCATACTTTATTACCGTGAAATAGGTCTTAAATTCTATTCAAAGTGGTCTTAAAAAGGTGTTAAAAAGTCTTAAATTTGAGTTGGCGAAACCTGCAGGAACCCTGTACAATAAAAAGTCCTGCATTCAAAATGTTACAAGTAAAAGTACAAAAGTATTAGCATCAAAATATACTTAAAGTACCACCTGCAGAGGGATCTAGATGCAGGTGTTCTTTTCCCCATAGAGACCGCCTCGCTGCACATTATCCCTTGCATAAAGATAGATTGTGGGTCCCTTATAACATGTTGTACACAGTGGAAATAAACATTCTGGTCACCTCAACATCAGGGATCTTATACATTAAACTCCTTCTGAATCAAACCGTCACGGTAGCCTTACCTTACTGATCCCTCTTAAATTAGAAAAATACACGTTACTTTACCAGCAGAGAGAAAATGGATTATTAAATTATTAATGTGACTAATAAAGAGCAATTTGATTATTAAGTATTATTCTGTTGATCGATGTCATTACATTTGGTGAAAAACACATAATGACTTGTTTATGACTCGTTTTGTCAAAGTTTAGGACTTGACTTGACTTGAACTTGCCCATCCTGACTTGAGACTTGACTTGGACTTGCAAAACAATGACTTGAGACTTGACTCGGACTTGAGCGCAAAGACTTGAGACTTGACTCGGACTTGCAAAACAATGACTTGGTCCCACCTCTGGCAATTAGTGTATGGGCAAGGATGCCGGAACCTGTTCCCATGATGTTTTAATTTGCCATGTTTAAGCAGCTCGTATCTACTTGCTACAGACTTTCCACACACCTTACATTGCCACACGCCCATTCACATATTACACCTAAAAAAAAGAAAAAAAAATACAAGTTTAAAAAACTTCTCAATGCTATGAAGTATAAGAAATGAAATTATTGCATCACGTTCAAATTACTTACCTATATAGAGGTTGCCCATCCACAATGTTGATTTAGCTCCTAGATCTATAACAAAAATAGCACACGGTTAGTTTCCAAAGGTGAGGAATAAGCTATTCCTTGGCATTGTAGAACAATGCAGCAAACTAGCCAGATATTGAAATATTATGTAAATAAATAAGGCCTCTGCTGGATGTCTGTGATGTAGAGCAGCAGCTTGATTTAAAAATGATGCTACTTGGTAGAAAATGTCGGTTTTTAATCACTAATTAATTAGTATTATGTCATATTTGATTATTCACACCAACCCTAGTATGGAGGACAACAACATGACAAACATCAATAAATCAATCAAATAATCACTAAATGAAATGAATGCTCAAATAACTATAAGAGGGAATAGGGAAATAATTAATAGTATAAATAATTGCAGGAGTAAATAAATACTTGAGAGAATGAAGACAAATTGGAAGAAAAATAATAAATACATAGTAAAATAAAGCATAAATACATGAGTAATTCATGAATATATACATAAATCAAGTACATAAATGCATGAATAGAAGTTGGTAAATTAAGAGGGCTCCAATATGTCTTACATTTATTTATTTTCATCCATGTATTTATGCATTTCTTTTTTCTTTCCTATCCTAACTCTACTCTCTTTCTGTCTGGCTCGAGCTACAGCTATAGCTAAGCCTTATGTCATGACGAAGAGTGGAGTTGATATAAGAAAGTATTAGATAGTGTTAGCTAAAAATACGGCACGAAAAGAACTCCAATGTAACTTGAATTACTAATGGCGCGTTTCCACTTCAGGCCTCGCTCGGTTTGGTTAGGCCTTATTAGCCCGGCTCATTTTTGGCGCGTTTCCACTGCAGCGGGTAGCTCGCTTTAAGCGTGCCGAGCCGTGCGGCCAGAAAAAAGGTGAAAAAGTAGCCCCGGGTCAAAACTAGGCCAAGTGGAAACGCAACCAAAAACGGGCCCCGTACGGCTCGGCACGCTTAAAGCGAGCTACCCGCTGCAGTGGAAACGCGCCATTACTCTCACGAATTCCCAGGTGTATCTGTGCTGCGATCACCGCATTGAGACAGACCGGAAGTACGGTGGCTAAGGCTAAGCTACTACTGTAATTATTGACGCAACCTAAGCGACAGAAACATACATAGCCCTCCTAATAGGGCATTCGGGCTTATGTTTGGAGGGCAACAAAGCACAAAATGTGCTGCTGGCTCTGGTTCATGCTTAGTACAAGCAGCACCCAACTAGCTAGGCCTCGTTTCGCTAGCTAGGCCTCGTTTCGCTAGCTAGCCAGCCAGCATTGTGGCGCAAAACTAACTGCACGACGAATATACACATGCAGACAATTCTATTCGTATAGCATAAACACGTTAAAATAACTGTTCATCTTCAATAACGTATGGTTAAGCAGCGGAATATTAAACAATTAGACTTACCTAAAGTCCGTCGATCGACGGTGTAGGTTGAAACCAAACGCCAAGTCAAGCGGGTAGCACATAGAAAACACCAAGTCTACGTCAGTAACGTCATGCTTTGCCTCCCTTCAGGGTCTGCCTCCCCTTTATGGGATTTAATAGAATAAACTGTACTAATTGTCTTACATTCCGTTTATATTCAACATATTCACGTTGTGTTTAATTGCTTGAACAAATCCACTTTATATTTGACAGATTTCAGTTATATTATATCTGAAAATATTGCTTCATATTTATGTGGACCAAGAATCCGTTTTTTGAGTGTAGTATATTCCCCTTAAATCCGTGGTGCTTAAGGGGGATGGCTTTTCGGGCTGTTCCCGGGCCTTCACATAGCAGTCACTAGGTAGTATATTCCCCTCAAAGCCGTGGTGCTTAATTGGGATGGCTTTTCGGGCGTTCCCGGGCCTTCACATAGCAGTTTCACTAGGTAGTGTATATAGGTAGTATATTCCTCTCCAAGCCGCTGTGCTCAGGGAAGAATCGGCTCTGGGCTATTCCTCAGGCCTACACATAGCAGTCTCACTTAGTAGTATATTCCCCTTAAAGCTGATGTGCTTAGGGGGAATGGCCACATGGCAGCTCGCCAGGCCCTCTACTTATCAGTCTTACATCACCAGCGTCAGGCTCGGGCTACGCAGTTTTGGGGGATAGTATCTAATCTCCATGCAGTTTTGGGGGTTAGTTATTTAATCATCACTCATCGTGCTATGTATATGTATGGAGTGATGATGCCCGAGCCTAGTTGCCAAACTCAACTATATGCTGCTTCTAATAAACATGTTAAAGGAACACGTGAGTTGTCTGACTGAAATGGGGCGAAGCCTGCGAGCTAGTTCAGGCAGTCAACTCGAGCACTTATGCTGCATTCATACATAACGCCCCTTGCCACTCTACAACCAACCAAACAGAGTCTCCTTAATATGCCGCTCTATTTAACCTGCAGATCTCTCTCCATGCATTGCTTGCTGCTGCTATTGCTGCAGCTACCTCTACGTCGCTGCTGCTTGCCTGCTGCCACTGCTGTGTTCACTTGCTATTGCTGCGTTCATGTTCCTGCTGCTGTGTTTCATGTTGCTGCTGCTTGCCTGCCCCACCACCACCCCAGCTTCCACCCCAGCTTCCACCTGTAGGCTCGGGGGTTAGTTATTTAATCATCACTCATCGTGCTATGTATATCTATGGAGTGATGATGCCCGAGCCTAGTCGCCAAACTCAACTATATGCTGCTTCTAATAAACATGTTAAAGGAACACGTGAGTTGTCTGACTGAAATGTAGCTTAGCTCAAATTCAATCAGGAAGACCAATAACCTCTGTCTGTTACACGTCATTTCAATACTCTCTCCTCTCTCAATAGAGAGGCGAAGTCCCTCCCCTTCCGAAAGCCTCCATGGGACCCCGGAAGCGGAAAATTATACATTGAAGTCAATGGAGAGAGAAAGGTTATCTTTTGATCCCGTTTGAATTGTGTCACGAATGACACATATGATGTTTGTCAATTTAAAAGAAAATGTTGCAAGTCAAAAAAATAAAACTGTGAAGTTACACATTTTTTTGTGTGACACCGCTCAGTGAACTACAGGTCTCTGGTCTCGCACAATACGCGTCACCATCACAAAGACGGCCGTCACGTTAGCAAATTTCACCTGTTTCTTTCAGAATGAGGCGAAAAGTATAAAACGAGGTGAACATCACTACAAGTCTGGGCACGTTGAGAGCTGTACATACACGAAAGGGGAGTTAGTCGGTTCTGTAAGAGCAGCGGGACCGGCTTTACAAGGTTTCGGTGAGTAATATGAGTGCAATGTGTAACGTTAATGTCAGCTAGCTAACATTAGCTAACAAGGTACACTAGCGTGTTTTGTTTTAGTAACTAGTTTTCTCCTTAAGAAATTCGTGGTCTCTGTGTATGCTGTGGATAACATTAGTGTTCACAAGAACAAGGTACATTCCCGTGTTTTGTTTTAGTTGCTCTTCAAATTGAAGCGGCCAGTTGTATATCGACTATACTGTATGTGTGATCTCCTTTTTCTCGTTGTGTCATTTGAGTTTATTTGCTGTGTGTAGATTCAAGGATTTTGGTTATCTAGGCACAGCTGCGTGTGACTCCCTCTGGTACACCGGTATGTGTTTTCCTAATGTAGAGAGCATTGATTAATTAATAAACTACACACTGAGTCTAGATCCTGACCAAATCCTTTTTTTTGTTGATCCAAATGTTTTTCAAAAATGTATTCATACACATTTAGAAAAATACAATGTACAATCACAACCAATACAACACAAATTACAAAAAATACAGAAAAAACAAACAATAACAACAGACAAGAGGACAAAACTATGGAAAAATAAACCCTCCCACCCCCAGATCCGGACCATCCTTGTATTATTGCTCATTCAATCTATTATAGCATGCTAACAAATGGTACTTACTTTATTTTTACAGATCTGCATGGGAGACGATGGTGCGATGCAGAGCGCTGTCTGTGATTGTGCACAGGAGATGTACAAATGCAGCCACGCTGCAGCATTGGCAATATTTGCCATGTGGCAGATCAGCTCCACAGATGTTGAGTGCCAGTGGAGGAAGCCTGCCACTTCCAAAGTAGTCCAGCCGGTGTCTCAACTTTACCATCAGCGAGAGGAGACATACAACCCACTGGCCAGAGACATCGCCAACTGTCAACTGGGGGGTTGTAAACGAGGCCGAAGGGGTGAAGGCTTTTGTGGAGGCCTATCAAGTGACAGTGTTCGAGTCTGGTCTCTTTGTGAGTGAGTCGGGTGTGTTGGGAGCATCACCCGATGGACTTGTGCAGCCATCTGCCCTGCTGGAGGTGAAGTGTCCACACAGCCAGAGGAACATGACCATCGCGGAGGCAGTCCAGTTACCATCCTTCTGTCTCCGTGAGGAGGGTGGGTCATATATTATCAAGGAGAATCACCCATACTGGCACCAGTCACCGGTTTATACTAGGCAGCTGCATATCACAGACCGGAGTCTCTGCTACTTTGTTGTGTGGACCACGAAGGAGGCGATCATCATCCCCATCCCCAAAGACCCTGCATGGCATGGAAATCTCCTCCTCCTGGAAAAATTCTACACCCAGCATATGCTCCCTGTGTTGGCCAGTAGAGAGGAGGACATTTCAATAAACATACTCTTAACACCCTCGGACTCTGCGTTGTGTTTCGTATGTGTGATGGGGTGTTATGCAGGGGGGAGGAAAACAGGACACAGCAGATTGGGATTGTGGTGGAGATGCTGAGCAGTTATTTAATTGTTGCATGTAATTATTATTATACTGCGTGCTTCTGAGTTATTCAATGTTTTGCTGTAACATGGATCTGTATGTAACTCTATTTACTTGTTATCTACCACACTTCCTTCTACATCATACACCATCATTATACATGATGGTGTATATAGGATATATATATTTGTATACATATCTGTAAATTGTATTTTATTTAAACGTCTTTTTGATCTCTCAAACTGAGTAAGATTGACAATAAAGTTGACTTTGAAAAATATATATATTCTTTATGAAAATAGTTGACTGTTGTCAAATGAATCCAAATGAAACGTTGGACTGAACTACAACTACGCCTTTAAATCTCTACGGACTGTTTTTCAGTGGGATGGCAAGTTCCTATCTTTAAACATTTATTAGTTTTTTCTCAGAACAGATTTGATTTTCTGAAGTTAATTTAACTTACCGAATATACCGAATACTTGTTTTAGAACTTTATTACATATTTTTATATAAATAGTTTGAATGATCCATAATTGACAGAAGCTTGTGTTTACACTGACCTGTTACTCATATATTAATGTCTTTGTAACTTCAGTAAACCACTACCTCACTCATTTCTTTCATTCATCACGGTTCAGTAAACTAAGTGATAC